ACACCCTATCGTATACGTAATATGCCGAAACTAAATATGTCGAATCCGATTTCTTCGTCAAACTGCTTTTATTCATATGTTTACAATTATAGAAAAACACTAACACGGAAATCGAAGTAACATTCGCTTTCGCAATTGCAAAATATCAGATATTAGCTTTTGCATATCAAAAATTTAATTATAGAAAAAGATATTTCATATGAAAAAGTTTATTTCAGTTTTTTTTAACCGGCCGAATACAGGCAACAGATCGAAACAATCGGTTTAAATCAGAGACCATAACGATTATAACAAATAAAATTAAATATTGCTCTATAATTATTACTAAACAATGGAAAAATTGTTTAAATTTCTCTTAAAACAATGCGAGGTTTTTGATCTCAAACGTTAGGATAATAATTATTTTGGGCCTCTGGTTTAAATTTCAACACATGAGCGTAAAAATGGCAACGTTAATTAAAATATCTATTGAGAAACTAATAGAAATTTTTAAAAGCCTGACATCATTGTGGAAAAGTAAAATAAGCACAAGTAAAGGCCATACATAGAATTTATTTTCACTAGGAGTTCCAGTAACTGCCGAAATCCGACCGTTTTTCTAGTTTTTAAGGGTCTTGGGGTTTTTCAAACGAAACAACTGTCGACAACTTTCCATAATTTGATATATATCGATAAATCGATCAATTTCCAAAACAATAAAATCCCATAATTAAATAAAACTCGATAAACTTTGGATAAATCTATAAATTTCGATAGCTCGATTATTTCGATAGCTCCATAAATTTCGATATCTATCGCCAAATTTTGATAACTCGTTACACTCTGGTAAATCGATAGAATTCGATAAACCGATAAACAGTGAAAACTCGATATACTTGTCTAGCCCTAGAAATTTCGAAAACTCGATTAATTTTGATTGCCCGATAAATTTCGACATCTATCGACGAGTTTCGATAACTCGTTACACTCTGGTAACTCGATAGGATTTTATAAACTTATAAACAGTGAAAGCTGGATATACCTACATATGTAACCCTAGAAATTCCGATAACTCGATATATGTACTTTGACAATTCCGAAAAATTTCGATTCGATAAACCGGAATATTTCGGTAAAGCAATAGTTATCGAAAACACGATAAGTGGATAAAACCTGATACATTACGATAACTCGATAGATTTCGTTAACTCCATAAATAATGAAAATTCAATAAGACTCCACAACTTAATAAGTTCCATTAACTTGACAAATTTTGATAATCCAATAAATTCCTATAACTCGATAGTAATCGGTAAATTTCCACTCTGTGTCTCTATAAATTTCGACAACTCAATAACCATTGATCAATTTGAATAATTCGATACATTCCGATAACTCAATAGGCAAAGGTGGTTGACTCATAAACTTCTATTATTCGAAAAATTTCGATAACTGTAAAGGTCGATGGCTCGATAAATTTCATAACTAAATTTTCGCTGACGGGATTTGTTCGATTCTTATATAAAAATTAAAAAATTTCCTTGATTCTTATGTATTTCTCTTTGCTTTCATTTTCGTCTTTAACTTAAATTTTGCCTTCACTTTATTATCCATTATTTCTTCATCACATTTAGTTAAGTTTAGTTTCAAATACGTAGTATAACAAAATTCGAAAACAACTCAAATTGAACAGGTTGCAACAACAACGTATTTATGCACAAAATACGAAAATTTTTAAACTACAATTTTGGCCGTAATTTTCAACCAATTTTGAAACCATAAAAACTCTTCACATCTACAAAAAAATACTTTTCAAACAGTTGGGTAGAATTGCCAAACGAATGGTGACAAAATTTAAGTTAGCGTGTATTATTTAATAAATACATTACGCATTCCATTGAAATTAAAATCTCCAACTGAAGCAAAAGTGTATGGCGAAACGAATTCCAACCATTTGCGCGATTTGGGAAACTTCATCTTCATGTGACGGATTTTCTTCAAAATTTTTCTGGTAGGCCTGCTCGAGAGTAAAGTTAAGAAAAGAATGCTAGAAATATATTTCAGAACAACCTGCAATAAAATCAAATAAATGCGTATTTATTCAGTAAATTTCAATTAACGCTTATTGCGCCTACCCAGCATACCGAATACCCGGTCGATCGCTACACAAACAATTCTCTGAATACATAGGGCATACAAGCTGTGGAAAAGCGCCGAAATATGCATAAAGCAAATACGTATGTATCTATGTATGCATCCGCCATACATATATAGTGGGCAGTGCATATCTCACACCTAAATACTATGTATGTCCATAAATAAATGTGTGTACTTACAAATGTACACATATGCCAAGGCAATGAATAGAAAAGTTGTTTGCATTGCAAGTGGCTGCAGGCAGTACTAGACAAAAAAACGAATGCCATAGAAGTTCATTGCTCGCGGACATTTGGTTTTGTTAGTTCAATTTTATGCGCTTTCATATGCCATCTCAGGATATTTACTCAACATACGTATACGTATGTATGTATGTAGGTGTGCATACAATGCATGGCATTGCAAGTGTCGAATGCAGTGCATTTTAAAGTGAGTGCATGGCGCTCGGTCGCGACTGGGTACTTAATTTTGCACGCAATTGAAAAATGACCTTTCGAAAGCATTGACTATGCCTTAGAAACCATAAACACGGCCTTTTGCCGTTCGTCCTCTACCCAGCCGTACAACGCGCACTCCAAAACGTCAAAACTAAATGTGAGGGCACGAGTTTATAAACCACTTATAAGCGTACATATGTATGTATGTAGGTTTGTTTATTAGGGTGCTAGCCACAATTAGACGTTAGTCACTACTCTGCTTCTATGTGCACATGTGCATCTGTGTCGTTGGGCGAGCGAGTGGGGAGGCTTTTCAGAATGCATGCGCTGTAAGTATTAATTATGAATGCGGTCATCGCCTACAGTCAGCCAGCAGCCAACGCACAAACACTCCTTCGTGCTGCGAAACGTGTTCCCAGCTGAGCATTGGTGCATTATTAAGAGCTTCTAAAATGTCCTTGCTTAACGCACTTCGGCGAAAAAAAAAATTGCCCAACTTTACAACGCATTAAACGTGCTTTTCTATATGGTGATACGTGTGTGTTTAAGTATATAGCTTGCTTATGTACATGTGTATGTAGGTGAAAATTCATATGCATTGCCCGGGGCGTTTCCATTGTGCGCTACGCTGCACGCTAAAGGTTTGCACAACTTTTGTCTTTTACACTGCTTTTGGTAATTTCGCGTGACTTATTTTTGATGCCGCAAGCGATTTTCGTGCACATGCGATGGAGGCAAAGTTTTATCGAGAATATATCCCCAGTCGGTGGTCGTTTTATGTTGCAAAAAACTACAAGCATGGGTTGGTTTAATATTTAACTAATTGCTACTTGGCAATATTAACCAGAAGTGAAGAAACTAAATTTATGTATCTGAGCAAATATTACGAGTTGTTAAATTTTTCGATAAAAAGTTTTCTTTTGGTCGAAAATGGTGGCACACTTATCTCAGACAACGGATTATCTTCAGTTTTGCATAAGTAACAAGATTCCATCGCGAAATTGTATTTAAATGAAAACTTAAAAAATATATACTAACAAAGGTAGAAATAACAACTCGTGCTCATATACCCGTATATATGCATACAACGTATACGCCCCGTAGCACCATACACAGTAAGCTAACTTACAGTAAGCTTACTCACATTCCTTGAATTAAAAGTCATTTAATTTAAAAATAATTAAATATTGGCGTAAAATAATTTTCTACAGTCTTTTTGATGAATATTTATATACATACATATATATATTAATTTATTCATGCATATAATAATTTTGGAATGAGTTTCGAGTGTATCAATAAGAATTGTAAAATGGAATTTTGTTTCACTGGTCATCATCATCTTATAATCAATATAGTTTTTTTTTTCTTTTGATGGTACACTAGTTTTATTTCTATAGATTGGTTCATTTTGGTAAGAACATTTTCACCGTTAAATGTTAACATTTGGAAGTAACTTAAACTTTTAAAATGAAAAAATCCTTAAATATCAAAAATTACAAAATAGCAGCGACAAATTTTCTACATGCTGCGATTTCTTATTAATTTGGTGGCACGCTCTTGAAACTTCACCGGTATGTTTCATATGATGTCAATTTTCATTGCCTCCAACATGAACGTTCTAACTGAAAACTTCCCAGAGTTAGTAAAAAAAATAATATGATATTTTCAAGTGACAATGAAAAAATGAACAATTTCGGTACTTTTTCGCCTAAATAAACGTTTTATGGCTCAAATTTTTCAAATACTTGATTTATTTATTATCGTGCTTGTGTCTGGAACTCCATTGTTTGAAATAAATACAAGAAGAATGCTTTAGCATTTTTTTTCTGGCGAGAGTAGGGAGTGACACTACAAAAAAACAACTCGTGATATTTGCTCATATAGCAGCTTCTTGTACTTTAATATTGAGCCCAACAGCGAAACAAAGCATAGACGTCTTAAAGCGAATTCTAGAATTTTTGTAGATACTTCCCTCTGTGACGCATAATTTTTCATTTCAATTTTAAATTTGATGAAAAATATTTAAAGGGATTCACAATAATTTTAGGTTCACGAAACAATGCAATGCGGCATATACTAAAGTATTTAAAAAATATTGTTGGACACCGATGTCGTGATTATTTTTTAATACTTAATATAAACCCTAATACAAGGCGAAATCATATACGGTGATATCGATTCTACAAATACAAAAATTTCATGTTTTTGCGTTTAGGGGGCTATTGCCAAATTTCAGTTATTCTTTCCTGAGGAAAAAGGATACAAATACGGTTGCTTTTCACTCACTTACAATCAAACAACATTCACAGCTGATGAAAGAACACCACTTGTATGAATTCGCCTAGCCCTCACACTAAAACAAAAATAATCTAAAACTGTAATATGTATTTGCAATACAATCACATAAGTAATTTTTAATTTCAGGTTGAATTGGAAAACTGGGTAAATAGCATTCATAGCGCCTGTGCTGCAGCATTTGCAAGACATCGCGGCAAAACAGGAACTCTACATCTCTTGCAGGAAGAAATATTCCGTTTGGAGAAAGCCATTGAATCGGTAAGTGCCAAGAAAAGCTTTGTATATCTAGTTCGGTTAATGGATATGCTGAGTCTTAACTATAATTAGCGTTATTGTCGAACATACATACTTAACGCTTTTTTGTTCAAAAAAAAAATTAAACCTATTTGAAACCCAATGGAACACAAATTTCGTGACTTTTTCAATTGAAGTACCGCGCGTAAGCTACACTGCCTACACACAAACAGATGGAGTATTCAAAGATGAGCTAGAGTTAGCCAGAGTTTGTATTTGCTCGTAAGCCAATATATTTGGCCATCATACTATCAGGCGAACCTATTCAGATCCGTGGTCCTTGGTATCTCAATTACGCCTTCAAAGTAAAAATAACCATTTAATAAAAAAAATCCTCAGGGAATTTTTATTTATGATAGGAGGAAAGTGGAAAGGTAGAAAACTGCCAAGGAGTTTCTGTTCAGAATCGGCCTGATTAGCTCAAAATGATCCAAAAAACTATGTTTCAATACATAGAAAACTCCCAAGGAGTTTCTGTTCAGAATCGGCCTGATTAGCTAAAAATGAGCCAAGAAACTATGTTTCAATATATTTATTTTCAGCTGGCCGCATATGAGTAAGTAAGCCCCGGGGAAAAAATGTCCCCAAACATTTTTTGTTATGTTTTGGACCAAGCAATACGTGTGCCAAATATTTGTGCGCAGTTCTGATTCACGCTGTATTTAAATAAAATTTTAGTTTTTTTTTCAATAGTGTTGTAGAGCTTTGTACCACGATTTGTTTATAAGGAAAAATGGAAAACCAATAAAGTTTGAGCGTTAGCAGTTATAGCAGCTATTTCGGAGATCACCACATCTCCTCATCAGAGAGCTTTTTTCTAGACTTCAGCAGGGTTCGAACCCGCATCATCGATGTGCAAAGTCAGAAGCGCTAACCACTGAGCTATGCACACCCCGTAAACTCTTGGTGCTAATCCATTTTCTTATTCAACCTACTGCCTACTGCAAGTGCAGCTGATTCGCCGCTATTTAAACTTGACAGCGTGGTTGTTATTGTTAATGCCATACATTAAATAAATCCATAGTATAGTTTCAGGCTTCACTTTTTTCAAATATCCGTAATTATTGACAGCAAGTTGTTTAAATTTCAAATCAAATTCACTTCATTTTAAATTTGGAACACCGTTTTAAATAGTACATATAAAACGTACTTTAAGTTGGCTATGTCAGAGTACACTAAAACCACACTTCTAACTTCTTTGTGCCATTGACTCATTGCGTGTACATGACGAAGTGTCACATCGCTTTCCTTCCAACCAGCGAACTAAATATTTTTGTGCGAATAAGATTTTAAACTAAAATTTTACTGCTATGCAACAAAAAATACATACTAATGCATTGCTATGAAATGCATTTAATCGTCGAAAAAGCACATGACAGCAGTGCTCGTACTTCTTTTCATTATTACTTTATATGCCATTAATACTTACTCCGCTACTTAAGTCATAAGTCATTGTACTTTTCGCAGCTTTGTTCGCTTCGCTGAGAATGGTTGAATATAGCCCAGTCTTTATGAGTAGTTGTATGTATGCATTTACGTTCGCAATTCACTACACTGCGCTGAGCTGTCATAATCATTTAACATTTAAGCGCATTGTGAACTGAAGCGTTGTCGGAGCTAAAAGTAGCACACCATCATGAGTCAGAGTAGGAAGTGATTAGATGAAAAAATTAAGTTGCATTATATGTCTTAACTAATCAAAAAAAAAATGCTTCTGAGTTAGGGGAAAAAATGCTTATAAGTGTTGAAAATCCTAGAGCAAGCTACTGCATCAAATATCCCGGAGCATGTTTTCTTAACATAAGTAATAGCACTCGCAATTGTGCTAAAGTTTATGGCCACCATCTGCTTTGGACGCGTCGTTCATGAACTTGCTTTAACCAGCAATTCAGCAATAAAAATTTCTTTGCGCTTCTGTTTTAAATCACTGCCGAGTCAATTCTTACAGAGCTGACTTTTTCAACATGCGGTCAAATGAAATCTAAACATGTTCCTGGTTTTATGGGCCTTTTGCACATCTGCACAATCCAATTGGCCAACAAATGTCAAGTCACAAGTGTAGTACTTACATACAGTCATGTGTGCAAGTATACATATTTATATACATGCATGCGTGTGTGTGTTTTTACTGTCCGCAAAATTGTTACTTATCATCATTTACATATTTATTTCATTATCCGACCCGATGTGATTTGAGCTGCTGCACGGTGGGCCAGCAGACTGAAAAAGAGGCAAAAATTGTTGCTTGACTATTTAAACGTGAAAAAAATATTTTTATGATATAACTTATTATCCAAGATAACAAAATCCGGTATATCGAAAAGTACCAGTTGTCCAAGAGTTATAAACAATCCGAGAAGGCGCGTATTTTGGATTTTTTGAAGTTTTAACTGCTTTAAACGTATTAAAAATTCAAGGGATTTGTTCTATTTTTCCCCTTTCTACTTGGTATTTTCTGTAGAAATTTTATAAAAAAAATTTTGCAAAAATAGGGTTTGCCAGATATATGAAAAGTTTATAATTATTCAAAGGCTCCACAGCATACTTCAATTTCTATAATAAAAACCCCCGTTTGAAGAAATTAAAAATAATATTTTGGAGTGGGGTTGCCACCTTTTTAAAAAGTTACAATTACGTTTATTAAAAAAGTTTATGCTTATTTAATATCACAATAAGGGTTTCAAACGAAAAGGTGTTTGAACAAGCTTCAACACAAACATGCCTTCGAGTAGTGTTGCCTATCTATCAACTAAGGCTATACATAGTTTTTATTATTTAATTTATATTATTTAAAGAAATAAAAATACGGATTTGATTGAAAAATTTTAAGTGCGGGCTTTTATGTCAAACTGTTTTAAGAATTAATTTATTTTGCCCAAAAATTGATACATACATGGATTTTAAGAATTTTTTCAAAATTTAACCTTTTATTGGCCTGCCTCACTTACAGTAACCAGGGCCTACCACAAGGAGCCTACAGGAATAAAACACTCCACTTATTTATATATTTTTTGTTATTTTTATTTTTATTTTTTACTATTTTTTTTTATTTAATTAACGAAAAAAATCAACAACTTAACAACTAATTTCTTCATTTTCAGGCTTATTAATTCCTGTGCAATCTTCAACTTTGTTACAATCTTGTTTAAATAGAAATATTGACGGTCTAATAGAGTGGAGTGGTTCGATGAAATTTTTGGAAAAATTTATAGATAATTTTTTTTGTCAAAAATACATAAATGGTTGTAAATCAAACAAAGCAAAACTGTGCAAAAACAACATGCATTTATGTATTGTAAAATATACAGAAACTATTCGCAATAATTAAGTAAAAACAGGACTTTTTAGAAAAATATGCACTTGCGTTTGAATGGCATTTTAAAGGAAATCTCACGGTTTATATGAGATTCCTAGCCCTATTTATTTGCATGAAATATAACCAGAAAGGAAGGTTACTCATACGCCGTGTATCGTACAAATTCATAGCCGCACACGCGTTTTTTCGAAATTTAACAATTAATTACAAAAAGCTGAAAATATCCGCCGATTTTTATTAATGTATGTAGATATCTTTAGTTATACAAGAGTGCATTATATTTGTTTTTTTTTTTTTAACAGCTGTAGCTAGCAGTGGCGACAATCGGAACAGTGTACTTAACTTAAATATGTTATTTTTATCAACTCAAATGTTTTTAAAACAAAAAATAATTGTCAACCTTTTTTGTTATAGTACTTTTTCTAAAAATTATTGATAATTTAAACAAATTCAAGAGCTAGATCTGTAGTTTTAGAATTTATTAATAAATTGATACACAAAATTTATAATTAAGGCTTACAAACGCTTTTTCAGATTTTATGAATTCTGAATTTGTTATGAACATAAAAAAGTGTTTAAAATGTCATAATATTTTGTTTTTGTATACCTCAAAGTATCCAGATTAAATAAGTTTATTATTTTAAACTTTTAAATTACATTGGTTTTTGGCAATTTTTTCAGTCCTCTAACCCACTATGTGCCGCTGGCATTTTTCTTCTTAAGCCCCAAAATGTGCTACAAATTATTCCCCTTTCAGGGTTATGCGCCGAATGTGTTTTAAAATTACATTTGTATGTACAACAAGGAATAGTATTTGTAAACGCATTTGCGGGTGTTTGTAGGTGTGTGTGTTTTCTCCTAAAGAAAGACCCATTGGATACGTAAATTTTCTACTAAGAAAACAAATCACAAATCGCAATTACTAACCTACACACAATTGGGTACAAAACAAAAAGCCATACAAGCATACATACATACATACATATGTATGTATACAAGTATATTTATGCCTTTTCGCATTGTGGAACTGGATGTAGAATATTGCTTGCACTCGAACTCTGTGCCATTCCACTTGAGTTGCGCTCACTTGCTTCAGTTTCATATGCAGGCATGTGGTCACAGGATGCATACGTACATATGAACATATATATATATATATATTCGTATTGTCCTTCCGGCCAACAAACAAATCTCTCTATGTATAATTTATAAGTATTGCAATCGGTTCTCCAGTGACCCAATCAGTTGAGATTCTCACATCACTCTGTTGTTCACATGAATATTTCCTATACGAAATTCATTCGCATTGGAAACAATATTGTTATATATATATATGTAAATATATGTCTACGTATGTATACATGCTCGTGTATGCCTATATACACACACGCTCATATGTACATACGTGCGTAAATTCACGCCTGCATGTGTTCACTTTGCTTCCTATTTTATGTTTTGCCCGCTCCTACTCTCAGAGTTTTGGTTTACTTTAAAATTTTGGCAATTCAGCTTCATTTGCATTTCTACTTATTTCGAATTTCCTTCAAACTTAACCGCTTGACCTCAGCTCTATTCTTCATTTATGACAATATCGCGTGAAATAGTTGAAGGGAGAAAAAAAATTGAAAATTCTTGCATGTGTGAATTG